ACACACACACACACACACACACACACACACACACTCATTCTCTCTCTCTCTCTCTCTCTCTCTCATTCTCATCTCTCTCTCCTCCACGCAGGTTCTTCTACATCGACACGCGTCCGACGCTCAGCGACCGCGTGCGCCTCAAGCAGCGCTACAGCCGCCTCAGCAAGTCGAGGACGAGCGAGCACGCGCTGCGTCCCTCCAGCGCGCTGCGCCGCAGCCGCCGCTCGCTGCGCTCCGGCTACGCGTTCGCTCACCAGGAGGGCTTCGGGCGGCTCATCACGAGCGGCGCGAACATGCGCAAGACCGAGAGCAACCCGACGCTGCGGCGCGGCAACGCGGGGGCGGCGGCGGCGGGGGCGAAGTCGGAGAGCGCGATCCAGTCACAGCAGCGGGAGGCGGCGGCGGCGGCGGCGGCGGGGGTCGCGATGCCGAAGGGTCAAGCTCCGCACCTGCCGTGGAATCATCAGCAGCAGCAGCAGCAGCCGCAGCAGCAGTATCATCAGCAACAGGAGCCGCCGCAGCAGCAGCACGAGCAGGAGCAGCATCAGCAGCAGCAGAGACAGCAACAGTGGCAGCAGCAGCACAATCAGCAGCAACATCAACAGCAGGAGCAGCAGCAGCAGCAGGAGCAGCAGGAGCAGCAGCAGCAGCATCAACAGCAGGAGCAGCAGCAGCAGCAGCAGCAGCAGTCGCCGCAGCAGCAGCAGCGGGAGAGTATATGCATCAGTGTGGCAGAGAACAGTTACGACCGGTGAAGCCCCCAACATGGGTTCGCTTTCGACTCTTAACGTTGTCCCGCATTCATGCCACGACTCGCCTTAGATCGTCAGCATCTGTACCGTACGGGTCGTCACGGTAACGGACGTTGGAACGCCGGAACTTCGGGCGACGGCCTCCGCGGCGGACAAGAGGCGTTCACTTGCTAACAAGCTAGTCATATTTTATAGTAAAGTGTAAACTATTTTCCTACGTCGGCATCGCTGGTAATAATACACTGTGGTAGCGTGGAAAATGTCTTTTCTCGGCACTAGGGGGCGCTGCGTGAGCATCTGCCTGAATTCTCTTGGGGGATCAGATCAGTATGCAGTGCGCTGTGTTCGTTCTATCCAGTTATCAATGATCTCATGTCATTTTATGTCTTGGGAATCTCGATAGGGGAAGTTTTAGTGAGCGTGCTCGTACTAACTGTCAACTGACCACACGGGTCGAAATTTTTTCATGGCCGGCAGCGTTGTTTCTGACTGGTGTTCCTCTTGCCGATTTTTACTCCCCGTCTTTGTTCCCCTTTACTCCCCCCTCTCTCTCTCTCTCTCTCTCTCTCTCTCTCTCTTCTTTTTCTTTCTGCTCTCTCTTCTCAATGTCTCGTCCTTCTTTCTACCTCTTCTCTTCTCTCTCAGTTCACGTCTTTCTCATACATTGTGTAGTAAGTCCAAGGCAAATTCTTTCTCGTTCGTCTCGTCCCTTATTGATGTCCTCTTTGACTTACTCATAGCTTTAATTTCTCCCTCCAAGTTGGATTTCAATTCTCATTGTAGCCAAAACACATAGAAACAACCAGTTATAAATTATAAAGTATTTATTCACATAGGTTCATGTATCAATCTCTAGCTGAACTAATGAACAGATAGATGGTATTAGACAGCCATTATGTTGGAGAAAAATTAGTCACCGCACCTACAGTTCTCTTCTATCTATTGACAAGCATTATTAAACACGTTATAATCGCCGTGTTTGGTTTGGAACGGATCTGTATGACTGATCAATCGAGTGCCATGAACTTGCTCAATATGAAGCAACGTACTTCCAACTATCGAATGGAGCTATGCACAGGATGGTTCCTAACTAGCAATAACAGCGATTTACCGGAGTCGCTGCCGCCGGGCTGCTATCCTTCAATTCCACCTTCACCACATTTGATCCCCATTCGTGATCGCAGATCTGTGATCAACAATTTGTGATCCAGATTGTGATCAGACAATTCAATGCCCAGATCCGTGATCAACATTCATGATCAAGCTCTGTGATCAAGACAATTCATGATCAGACTGTGATCAACATTCGTAGAATCCCACGATCTGTGATAAACATTTCATGATCAGATCTGTGATCAACAATCATGATCCAGATCCATAATCAACAAGTACACAGGATCATTTGCATCCATGTGACCTGGATGCACCCCAGACAAATATCCTGCTGTATACATATTATATAACTATATTGTTTAAGTTTTATTCTTAAAAACGTATATTTTATGAAATTCAATTTATATAAATGATTGAACCTAAAAGCATTATTTCTGGTTCAGCTTTTATATTTTTAGCAAGTGTATAACTTACTAAACTAAGTGTATTTACAAGCTGTATAAGTAGCAGTACTAGCTACATATATAAAGATAATATCTGACAGTGATAGTAATATAATAACCCTGTTTGTACAATCTCTCTAAAACTACAAACCTGTATCATAAATGGTCTTCAATCAAACAGGGAATTCGCAAACTAGTCTAAAGCCCAAATATTATCTAACAACCGCAATGGTAAAGAAATCTATCAATTGCCTACACAATGTTTCAAAGTTGATAAAACTTTCAATAATAGGCAATTGTGATACAATAATGAATAAATAAAATACTGCATATTATATTAATAGATCACCCAGGGCAAAAAAGATGTGGCACACGGCGAAGTGTCATAACAAATTGGCTAAAGTACAGCAATTGCTGACACAGTACTACATATATGTACAAGCTTATGTTAGTCTAATATCGACCAGGAAAATAAAATCTGGTCAAAGTTCCAATTACCATGTTTTTTTTGAAATTAGGCCTTGGCACTAACAATACCATCATCGCTAAAAAGTCGTGCGCCATACTTGAGCACCTGAAGTGGGCAGAATGTAGTAAACAACGTGGAGTATTGAGGAAGTGAAAGGCGGTGGTACCGCACGACGGTACGGCAACGTTTCACAGGGCCATGCACTCGAAACTAATAGGACGCCATACAACCTCCAGTTGGTGCATCAGTTTCAATAAACCGTTGAAACATTATATACAAAACGTGTCTGAGTCGATAATTATACATAGGTTCCGCAAGACACCAACTACGATATTTTCCTTCCCATCTGATCTATATCGGAAGCATTTTGTTACTTCTGTTCACACGCGGTAGGTGGATGGACGGCTCACGCACACGCACATTTCCGATGCAGGGAGAAGTTGGTTGATTGTAATGGACTTCTGCTTACTGGTCGATAAACACCCCATCCGCCAATGTTTTGGCTTACTAACAGGGCTCAAGCGGTTTTACTTGAGGTAGTGAGGGGCAGGATTCAGGAGAATTCTTCGAGTCGGGAGAAGGCACAGGATTTGCGGCGGGGAATCTAGTGACAGGCGGTTTGCGGCCGTAATTTCGACCACCGGATGTGAAGGCAGCAGAGAACCATTCCACCAGGTGGAACCCATCATCTGCTGTGATTTAGTTGCATCCGCGTTACTGTACAGCGTTCGGTGTGCTCCATCTCGCCAAACCCATCGCATACGGTTTGCCATCGCCCTGACTTGACATCCGCTGGCGTGTCAGACAGGATAGTAGGAAACATCACTGGGGCTTTGTCACACCTACCTCCGTGCACCCAAAGGATGCATTCGTCGTCTAAGATTTCGACAGACAACACTGGCTGCCAACGCATTCTCCAACCTTCTCCTGGGCAAGCAGACAATGCACCGCCAACTGGTGTCGGTTTAACCTATCGGACGCATCCGTTCGCTGAAGCACGTCCGAGGTGTGTGAACGTATCCACGGCGTATGGCTTCACGGAATACGCCAGTCTGGTTCCGGTCGTGGGATGCCACAAGCATCAAAGTACCCGACCGACGGCTACGGCAGTGAAGGGGGGCGGGCTCGGGAGCCCAGCGCGGATCGACACGTTGGCCACTTTTTATTCGGGTGTTCTCCTCCGGCTATTTACCTCTCCAAAAAAGATTTCTGTCGATCCACCGGCTATAGCAGGCCCGTCCATTGTGAGAGCATGGCGGTTTGGATCGACCGTAACCAAGGGAGATGCTAACTTGTTCAGATCGTTACCATGGCGATGAACATGAGTGACCATTCACTGGGAGAGGATCGCATATTGCGCGGTCGCAGGATGGGGCTGGGATTGGCCGACCAAATCACCGGTGCCCTTCGCCCTGGCGCCTGCCCTTCGTTAAAGCCAGTGGCGACGCTTGCTTTCAGACTCTTTGAAAAGAGTTGTCGCGGAGTGATTTATGGCGTAGCGTCCATTCGGCACGCTGCTGGGCCACCCATGGGCCGGCAGAACCCGCGACGCTCCGCAGCAAGCACCTTCTCGAACAGAGATAGCAGAACGCCTAACAGTGCCCTTGGTTCCTCTCGACGGGAACATGCATTCGCTTGCGCGCGTCCTCCTGAATCGTCGCGAATAGATTCCCACGTGCATCGCAGAATCGCAACCTAGGCCGTTGCCGCTCTTTCCTTAAACGGGGTTTTCGCGACCTCGCCTGTCGACGTCGAAACAGGAAGGCGCGCGTGCCGCGACGCTCGCAAGGCTCTCTACCTCCTCCCCGGCGAACCGGAAGCCCCGGCATTAAGCAGGGGGTCGCCGCCGGGCGTGACTGCTCTCGCTCGCCAAAACCACTAAAGCAGCAGTCCCGTCGCAGAACATCGACGTCCGTGCCTAACAGCGCGAGGCTGCGCGCAGGAGCAGCATGCCCCCCGCGAGCGTCGTCCGCCGTCGCCCGCGGAAGACCGCCGCATCGCGTCGGTCCGCATGCCGTGCGTCTGCCGGCGCGATTTCTGGCGCGTGCGTCGGGCGAAGCAGCAGACGCTTCAGGTGCAGTAAACACTTGCAGCGGCGAGCGATGAGACGGGAATCATGTATTTCAGCCGCGTCGGCCGACGTGTACGACGCGCGGGGCTGCTTCATTCGCGACATTCGCGTCTTGGCAGACCGTGGAGAAAATCGCACCTGAAACATACGACGCTCGTTTTTACTGGTTTTATCGGCGATGTAACACTAACACGTGCGCGGGCGAGTGCACAGCGCACCGCTAATACCGGGGTGAATAATTGACATTATTTCATTTATGTATTATTATTATTTATTAAGAATTTGTCGATTATAACCCCTGCTTAAATACTAAATAGGCGATACTCGATGTGGTGTGAGACGAAACGTTCACGTGTACTTGTTGTGTTCACTCACATCTAAAGGCTCAGCATCCAGCCTTTCCCAGAGGAGAAATCTCGACTCGGCCCGAGCAATCTTATCGGTCCGTCGGATGGAAAAACGATAGTATAGCACATACTCAGACTTCCTGTGGAGAGAAGACGATTAATGTGCTGTAAGTCATATCTAGGCCCATTGATATGCATTTGACGAATGCAGAGTAACTGGGCCATTGTGTAGTTGAATAAGTACATAACCTTCATCCAAACGCGTATTAGTTTGTCCAGATATCACGGCTGTTACTAAGAAATGTCTGATATGAAACTGCAGTCCAAGAAATCAGTTTGTTTAGCATGAGTTTTCAAACTGCTGCCACGAAGGCGGGTGGTGATACAGATTTTATAGTGCAACCGGACATTTTCGCCGCATGCTCCGACCGTACGCAATGCTATCGATCAGTGGGATTTCGTAAACGACGGACGCGTCGTGATAAGGAACTTTTTGTCAAGGCTGTCGCATGTGCGTTCCGTGATTAGTAACGTGTTTTACTTCCATTTCCCAATGTTTAGTCCGTGGCCCGTGGTTAAACACCGCTGGAACAGCTCTCCATTCATCTGGCGTCCACACATAACAGGCCGACGAAATGTTTATGTTATGCTTGACCCTGCGAATGACCCATTTACGGCACGTGAAATGAACATCAACAACGCGATTTCCAAGTCTTTGCATTGTATGTAACCAGCAGTGGATATTGGAGCAAACTCAATGCGCATATTGGCTATAAGGTTTATGTACTTATTAACTACAACAAGTGCCAGTTACCTGAGCATTCCGTCAACATTGGCAATAAGTCAAATGCGCTAGTATGGCGCCGTTATACATTTACTGTTAAACTTCACTAGCTATTAACATTGACAAACAATATGAAATAAGAATAACACATAGTGGAATGATATGATCTTGTCTCAATGATACAATCAGCCATATTAAGGGCTTAGTGATAATTGAT